ATGCACTCACACTGAATTGTAGCCACGGAGGATTTTCCTGGTATACTTTTCATGGACGTGTGCAGAAAAAAGCTCAGATAAATTTCCAATTGTAACATCGAGAGGAAAGCGGAAGTAGGGTAAAAATTTTTCGCAAAAGCTCTCGAAAACTTTCACTGAATATGAATTAGACCACTCATGAGAGCTCCTGCAGTGCGGTGTATGATATTGAAAAGTTTCACCTCTATAGAATATTAATGGGTAATTTTGGAGGGAAAATTGGCGAAAATAGCACACATTTTCGGCACAGCTCACTGGGACTTTCATACGGATAATCCCCATGAGATCACATTATATTTGATCAGGGAGATGGAGTCAGTTTGTCTACTTTCTGATAGGATTATTATTGAATTTATTGTGTCTCTATTTTCACTGAATTTCCACCACAAGAAAGAAAAACTTCAAGGCGATGCGAGAGCCCACAAAAAGGCATTTCACCACATTGGAATTTCTCCTTCTGTCTGGCGAAAATTCGGTTTTTTGCCTCACACTTTGTCTGCGAAATGTTCAAGACTTTCACTCTTGCCGAGATTTATTTAGCTCGAGAGATGCTGTATTTGTGTGGGTGACAAGGAAGAAAAAAAGAAGTTTTCAGGCCCTTTTCTCGCTATTGAGTTTGTTTTCTCTCTCGGCACAAAACTTATCAGGAATGATATTAAAAATTATATTTCTACGATATGTGTGGGCGCTTTGGCAGCAGGAAAGGTTTCCTCGGAATTCCGTGAGGCTGTGAAATAAATCTTTCACAGCAGAAAGAGAAAAGTCTCTTGAAGCATTATTAAGTTTTGTTGGGTGCTTTTAAAAGACTGACACAAACTTTTTTCACCTCCATATAAAAATGGCGTGCTGTGCTGGGAAAGGAATCGCACGCTTTCTTCTCGATATCTATTTGCTTGTCGGGAAAATACAAGGGAAAATGAGGAAGTTTCCTTCATATCATTTCATATGTTCGAGGGAGTTGAAAGGAATTTCTCAGATGCTTTGTTGAAAAATTGCAATTTGATGATCTATAGAAGCTATTGAATGACCTGTAATTCATTCTATGCTTTTTGTATTTTAGTAAATATCATAACATACTGTAGAAAATATTGAAAATATCAATGACAAGCTACTTCTTTTCTCGCTGCTGTAATTTCTCAGTCGCTATTTCGTGGGGAAAAGTCCCTCTTTGGCCACATAATTGGAAAAGACCTTAATTATGACTGGTTTTCAGTTCATCAGTGCTTTTCATTTCCTTTTCAGCTCTGGTTTGGCGGAATGCGGCATCTGAGTTGACATAATTCCAGATAGCAACAGAGAAAGTAGAGTTTATCAATGATTTCCTCAACTCTGGTCACTTCTTCATAGCTGAATTTTCTTGAGACTCCTCTTAAGCTCTCGCGCCTTCTAAGAGCTTTCATTTCCGCGATAGAACGAGAAAACAATTAGCAGATCGAGTGAAATTGATGGGTGATTGGAATATAATTGTGTTGATTGAAATTTTACTCGCGAAATCATTTTCAGGCCACATTCTGCGACCCATCCCAAAAGAAATCCACCTCCGAAGCGCCGAGGAAAACGCGCCTGGCCCTCTTTTTCAGCAATTTTCAGCATTTTGCGGAGCTGGAGAGAAAATTAATTTGGCAACACAATTTCACTGAACGCGAAGAGAGCTGAATTAATGACTCCGATGGCGAGGAAAAAGGCAAGAGATGGGGGATGATTATGGATTATTGCCGTGAAAAGTGGATGGCGAATAAAACAACCTCCCCGAAAAGAGCTCCATTGGCCAGAAATTGGTAACACAATAATGCTATTATTCAATGAATATTGCTTATCCCCGCCCAAGAGCTTTTTCCCTTTTCTGCAGACTTTCTTATTACCCAGAATTTCGTCTCCAATCGCGTGGATTTTCTTCTAGCTGTGATTAATTCGATAGTATATCATTAGTTTTTCCACGTTTGTGGAAAAATAACAGTGGGATGGTTTTCTTGCGCAATCATTATTGAAATTTGCAAGATGGTCTGAAATTGAGCTTTTCCCACGGTTTTGCATTTTTCTCAAATTTCCCTGTCCAAACTTCTCCAGCATATTTTGCAACTAAAAGTATTGCATCACACAGCATACATTATACTTATTCTGCAGAAAACATGAATACTTTTGCATCTCATTATCAGAAGAGAGCTGAAATATGTTAAGCAACTTTATACTGATATTTCACATCGTAAATTAACACTTTCATGACAAAGTTGTCCTGTAAACCACCGTTTCTCACACTCACATATATTTGAATCGCGGATGAAAGCATCAACGGATGAGTTTTCAATCACTGAGAAAATTTTATGGGAAGATTTTGCACGTTGTGGGAATTACTTAACGAGAAAACAGTGGCGAAGGATATTAGGAAAAATTCGGAAATTGAGGAATTTGAGCGAAATTCGCTAAAAGTGTTCTTAATTAGAAGCTTTCCTATCCGAGTTTGTTTTTTCGTCGATACATTCGTCAGAAGTGAATCGCCTGTGGCTTTAATTAGTGTACGATTTTCTCAGTGCTGAAGCATTCGAATGAAAAGCACTGTAGGAGCATCAGAGCGTGTATCTTTCGCATTTCCCACTGGTGTGGCAATTAAAAAGCACTCAAAAAGTATATTTGTGAGATTTTATGGCTGCGAAACAAGTATTTATTGAATTTATGCTGCCACCCTCGAGCGCCGTCGTAAAATATGCACTCAAATGAATATGTAATTAATTGAATTATTAAAGTCAAACCACTCCAGTGTGCGGCTCCGTGTGAGAGTGGGCAAAAATGTGGCGCTTTCCCCAACGACATGTGGCATTTCATTGAACCCCGAAGCGAATGGGGTTTCGAAAGAGCCAAAAGCTCTGTGATGCATAAGGTAACTTATTGTATAAATAAATTATAGGTATTCCAGAGCAGCTCTGCAGAATATTTCGGTCATCAGATCACCAGTAAGCGATGAATATAGCGACTAAAGCTCTTTCAAATATTTTATTTGGCGCTAAGAGTTAGTTATGCAAATACATGGTGAGCTACATCCGTGAGCCGCAATCCAATTTGCGTCTGGAAACAGATTCACGTGCTCTCATTACTTTCAAAGACTTTTTTTGTGTTTGCAGAATTATGCATTCATGCGCAAGCTTCATAAAGCACTATTATATTCGGTTTTTGGGGTGTCTTCTCTGTATGAACATGAAAATTTTCATTTCTATGAAATGTATACTACCTATTTTGGGATCTTTCGTGCGAAATGTGACAAAATCACACTTTCTAGGAAAAATAACGAAAATGTTCTCGTATGAAATTACCATCAGCGAAATTTCTGGAACAAAGAGGGACTGTCAAAACAAAGCAACATGTAACACGAGCATCTGAAAATTCATTTATAACTTTATTGAATTATTTCCATTTAGTTGCAATTTACATCATTTCAACTGAGTTAATTTTCATTAATATATGCCATGTAATGGCGTTTTGTTGTACAGTGTTTCAGGTAGCCTAGATAGGGAAGCGCCTTCGTCCCCTTCCAGAAACAGGAGGAGCTTCTCAATGTTAAAGTATCGTGCTTTTGTGCTGCACAAAGTGTTGCTCACCCATCATTTTGTCACGGAGAAATACACACTTATACATCACGTGAAATTGTCGGGGGATTTTGTGTGTCATTTTCGGCTGTCAGAGAACTCATAAAAGTGAATGTTTCGAGATAGGCGTTCAGAGTGCCGCCAAGAGTGGCTCGTATACAGTTGTTGATTAATAGACTGGCAGCGGCAGGACATAAACGGAAGACAGCACGTGAGTCTTTATGCCCAACAGATAGTTTCGGGTCAGTTACAGAGTGTATTTTTTCCACTCCTGCACCACCGTATGAATTGTCTGTTTAACTATTTATAGAGCGAGGGGGTGACTTAACTCCGCAGAGTGACATACAATTTTGACGAGGGTGTTGGCCAGAGACGAATGGCCTTTTCCCAGAACACCAGCAAAAAATGTCACGACGAAAGGAATACAGATTTTTTTCGCCCCACGAATTTGCATAAATTTTCATCCCTTTATTTTTTCACCCAGTCTATGCAAAAAGAAAAAGGATAAGCCCCGGCAATATGCTTCATTTTGTTCTCTATCGCCAGACGAAGAAGTGTTCTCTTTCACTCATTTTCTAATTGAATTTTTCTTACTTGATTTATTGAATTATATACTTTGCGAAGAGTCTCAACACAAAGTACCAATTTCAATTTACTTTATCTCTTTAGCATTATTTGCTCACGTAATTTCATACATTATTATCTTTCTAAGGGTTCTTTTACGATATAAGTAATCAAATCGCGATATAATTGGAATTATTGGAAAATGCTTTATAGCGTGCGTGTGTTGTTTTGGCACCTAAAATTTAATAATTTCATTTCCTCATATTTCATATTGCTTTTAAGTGATTAGATATGCACAAAGCGCAGTATATAATCTGCATAGTGGTAGGAAATACCACAAATTTAGATTGATTCATAGGCGCTTCAGTGACAATTTTCACTGCAATTTTCGCATAGAAATTGCAAAATTATACATCTGACGCGTGTAATAGAGAATTAGCCGTATTTCAATATATCAATTGTCATATCAAATGACCATCAGTTATCGTAATTTTCCCCGTGAAACATGCTCAAATTTTTATCGGCTTTGTGTGAGCTTCCAGCGGATATTCATAGCGCGAAGCGAGCTTTGAGACGGCAACACGATAGTTGTTATGTGAAGCGGCAATTTCTCTCGAGACTTTCCTCAATGGCACTATCATTGTGATGTATAGCATGACATGGCTATGAAACCTGAGTCAGAAATATAGCTTTAGGAGAGTGCGGGGAAAGTTCCGAGTTGATTTGGAGCCGGGAAAATTGAAAATTCCCAGAAGTTGAAGTATTTTGTGTGAATGTTGTGCAGACTATTTTTGAGATATGCTACTGGATATCACTCACCATCCTCATCTGACAAGAGGCTAGTGTCGCTCCTCGACGACGAATTCACTCCCATTCTGCTCCTCGAAGTGCACCGGCGACTTTTGGCATGCACAGCGGTTCTCACGTGGATTCCATTGGCAGGTGATCGGAATTTAATTAGTCGCGAACGTCGGATAGGAATCAATTTTTGAGGAGAGACTCGAGACAATTAGGATGAGAGAAAATCCAATTTCACGTATCTTTGGCGCCTTTTTGGCGTCACAACACTGCCAAACACACGAGAATTTATGAGATTCTATTTGTCATCAGCCGCGCGAAGCTCATCGACTTTCCGCCACACTGCTCACGAGAATTAGTCAGAGTGGCATCTTCCGCAATTTAATCATTCGTCTCGGCACGTGAAGTCATTCCGTGTCAATTAATTCCCCAGGTGGAATTTGTCAGGTGAGAGCAGAATGTCGTATCACATTTAACCCGTCAGCCGGAAGAGTGGAACCGCCGGCAAACAGCGTGCTTCTGCCGCGAGACTCTGCGTACAACTGATGAGCGCGCAAAAGCTCCGGTCGTCACGACGTGTGCACTACGAGTGAGTCGTCGCGTGGAAAGCTTCCTCGCTCTCAATGGAGTATAGTCCGTTCCGTGGCAGAGTGCGGCTCCCATTCACCGCCCCCTTCGGGGTGGGTGGTGGGCGCACACACGCGGCCATGTGGGACTCCCTGGACTCGCTGCGAACACGTTCAATCTCCCGTGTCGGCTCGCCGGGCGCCCTCTTCTGCCCCGGCCACGTGGGGCCCGCAGGCAATGAACTCTCCTTATCGATTCGTCAACAATTTAACAAGTGCTCGGCATCGCGGTGCCGCCGCAAGAGCATTTCCATAATTAGACTTGTGCCAAAGTGCCGTGAAGAGGCATTTTTCCGCTGATTCCTGCGTGTATTTTTGGGCGCCTTCGTGTGACGCGTTCTGATGTTTGGAAAGGTCTGAAGTATTGATTTTCCCTCCACAAATGCCGTGGCCTTTATTCATTGATGAGTTACTTGCGTTGTTTGCGAAATAATGAAAAGCCGCATTTTGTATATTTTCAGCCAATTTTCCAGGTTAATCTTGCATCGCAAAAACACCATACAGAAAACACAATTTATCATTTATGGTTCGAAAGAATCGATTTTCAAATAAAACTTTGAGCGATGCCATGAACACGGGTTGTTCCCAGAATGTTGGGCACTGTCTTTCTATCGTGACAATGCCATATGCGTCTCCACTGTATTTTCAATAAATTCTCATCAATATATTTTGTATATTTCATAACGTATCTTGCAAGCAATGTGGTGAGCTCGTAAAGAATTTGCCACACTTAATGCGAAATATTTATGAGCTTTCGCACATACAAATCAACCGAAACTTTCGGGAAGTTTAAATCCCTTGCGAGGCAGTGGCATTAAAGTCTTAAAGTCGGTGTTTTAAGAACTGCGACATTCTTAAAACATTCATTGATTCAGGTCAATTGTCTGTTGTGAGCTTTTGAGTCGACCACGGAAGCTCTACACCTGCAGACATCAATTGAATCATTCAGCCACGTTGGACTGTTTGTGATGCCGAAGAAAGAACTCGAACTAAATGGCTCTTTTACACTACACTTCAGTAGGAATTATTAAAGAGACTTTTTTTCCATTGCGTGGCAAGGAAGAAAGTATGAGAAAAACTTTTACACCAGCACTTTATTGAAGGCCAATAAATTCTCAACGTAATAATCGTAAATAACGTTTTTCAAAAATAGTTGTGCGAACTTTTTTATCGCTCTTAAGATGAGAAACTTTCTCGGCTGTTTCCATTCATGAGCAGTTATTGGAAAATATCTTTGCTATTAATATTCCATTTTCTCTGTAAAATAATATTTATTCTCCAATGGTTTGAGATACATATATTACAGAATCTCATGCTGTTCTTACTCTCGATTCGGCTAATCACTTGAAATCACCATTAACTTGAATTTGTTCACATTCACTTTAAGTCACTTACAAAAGCAAATAAGAAGTACAAGTTTCTTAAGCTCCGAAATCGGTAAAGAGGAAATGGCTAAGTTTTGGGATGTCAATACAAATTGCTTCCTTTTCACGACTCAGAAGGGAAATTTTCTTGCAATTCCTTCTGCAAACAATCTGCAGAATAAACTGAGTTCGTCTGTTTACTTCTAATCATTTAATATGTTTTGTTTAAGTTCCTATACCATCGTTAGTTTAATTCTCTGGACTAATTACATCTGGTCTGATCCTTTCATTCCTTGTCATGTTGAAAGTACGTCGATTGTATTTTCTCTGTAATTACAGTTAAAATTGCAACGTGAGCTGATGCTCAAGCAGAATATATTTCTTTGTCTAGGAAAGATGGAAAATAAAAAGCAGAGGATTCTCTTGTCTTTAGTGCACGTTTCCACTCAGATGGTAAATTGAGGAAGCAATTTTCTCGGCTTTCATTTTGGTCTTCTACTGGGTAATTGCAAGAAAATTTCATTTCCCTCGCCATCTTCCATCGAGGGAATGACGATTGCACGTGAAGGACAGAATTGAGATGTCACAAAATGCAATTATCAACCATTTTCAGGATGTTCGCTTGTGCGCGGCCCGAGAAACTACCTGTTGACGAGCTCACTTTCACGATGAATCCTTTAGCATGGAGGGACGCAATTGAATTTGGGGGCAACCAGTGAATTTCCGTCTAAATCATTTCCTCGTCTTCACAAATTGCCTCACGCTCAATTGATTCCATGACTGACAATGTGGCAAAAGTTGTGTTGCCGAGGCACAACATGAAATAAGCTGGGGATGTCTTTATGTCTGGTGGGCGAAATTAACATTCACCCTCGTGACAGAGAATAGATATGTGCACAATACAGCAAACATTTCATTTGTGTGCTCGAGAAACTGTTTGAGATGTGATTCCTGAATACAAAGCAGGAGCGTGGAAACTATAATATTGAAATTTGCTCCTTCATAGAATTTCCCATTCTTCGTGTGAGAGCCAAAGAAAGGCATTTCCTGTGTGTGAATGTCGTCAATGTCAAAAATATGCAATTTTTTCTCCTTCAAGCTTTTCGGAGAACAGAGAGATTTTAGCAGACGGGCAAAATAGAGTTTTCGTGATTTTATAAATAATTCCACCCTTACTTCCTTGTATTTTTACTCCCTCTCAAGCAGAATAATTTGAATTTTTCAGACAAAAAACAATATAAAATCCCTAGCATTTTCCCTCCTGAATGCAACACAACACTACGTTATTGCAAGGAATATATTTTACTGCGCTCACTGAGCGAAAACTGTTTTTCGTGGGATGTTTTTCCCACCGGACGACGTCGAATCAACAGCTTTCAGCATGCAAATGTGTTGTTATGTAATCTCATCTCATGTGCATACATAATAGAGACGCACCAGACGCCATTATTCACTGATATGTACACTGAGGCCCTCGCAAAGCTCTCTCCCTCTCACTCTCTGTCGAGGAGTTCTTAAAGCGACTCTTTGCTCAAATTGTTTTATGCATAGACTGAGAGACAATTTACCCAAATTGTTCACTTTGTACAAGCTTTTTTCCTTCATTTCCTCATGAAGAAACTTTGCAATTAAGCAATGCAGAAGCAGCGCGAAAATTAAGTGCTTGCAGCAGACTTGATTAAAATTGTCAGCAAACAAGCCCAGAAATCTCTGCAAATTAACAGGAAATTCTGAAGAACTGTTTAAATAATGAGAGAGATTTTAATTTTGTTTCCTTTCCGTGGAACTGACAAAGGAAATTCATTGAATTCACTGTCATTTGTTGCTTTTTTCCATGCATTACCGAGGGTGGCGAAGAAGGGGTTGCACTGCGTGTCGGGCTCGGGGAAGAACAATGGCAGCACTTGTGAAAGGAAATACCATTGGAAAAGCTTGTGTGGGAGTGATGGGAATTCAATTTGTGCAACGTGCATCAAGAGTGCGGAATGCAATAGAGGAAACCGAAGAAGCAAATGGAGTGCTGCGGTGAAATAAATGATGCAGATTATTTCACTCGAAGTTGTTGTACTGATATGTTGCCTAAAGCGTGGGATGGACAAGGAAGATGTCAATCCCAATCACTTCAAAGTAGAGAGCTTTTATCATACATGCAATAGAACGAAAATATATGGTCATGACCATAATAAATGAAAGATAACAGAGGAACACTTGTGTGACTTAGCTTCTGTGCAAAGGGATTTTTGTGCTAGTAAAAGCACCTACTCAACTGTCTCATGACAAAAATGCATGGGATTATGCGTTGAAAAATACCAGAATACTTTGAAATTATGTGGAGGAAAGATATTCTCTCAAGGATCAGCTGAAAGGTTAAGAAATCCCTGTTCAGTGTTACTTCGCAGGAAAATCTCGTGATATTTTCGCAATTCACTAAATCATCATTCCTCCTCGAATCCCTCTAATTTTATGATGATTGTTTTCGGTTCAGAATTTGCATCTTTTCACGACGCGCCAGCAGACTATATTTCACTCCGGCAATTGGTAAACAGTGTGCTCAGGCCCCAAAAATGGAGATGAGCCAGATAGCACGCGAGACCGTGCGACTGTGATGTATTAATATGGCGTTTCATTTTCAAAGAGCTTTTGGATGTTCCTCACGCCACCATCTTCGCCCGCCGTAAATAATGCACGCTGGATCCCATATGTGTAATGGCGTAATTACTTTATGCAAAAACTCCCCGAGTGCTTCAGCATTTTGTACTCCTCGTAAATTCCTAGTCTCCTGGGCAGAAGCGCCCTCCTGCACGCCCAGGAATTCGTGCTTTGGGGTATGGGGGGCAGCATAAATCGATGGCTGTATACAATAGAGTCGATGTGGTGTGAATTTTTCACTCGCCAGATGTTTGGCGGATATTTGCACGGGAAATCGATATGTGCTCTGCCAGGACACTTCCGCATTGTTCACTCGGGGTATCATAGTGGAAAATTATCATTATTCAGTACATCTACTGGATGACAGTGTACAAATTAATAATACATGGATTATTGACTAGCAGCTTGTGTGAATGTGGCTTCACGCTTTGTTGGTGTACAAAGAAGAGTTGCACTTTTTGGTCGCCTCACAGTTCAGTCGTGATCTCGTCCTGCGGCCGCAAGCCCAGCTTGAAGAACTCATCCTCCAGCCAGAGCGTGCTGCCGGCGATGTCTGAGCTGCGCTTGAGACTGCTGAAATTGCTCCCGAAGGGATCCGCCGCCTGGGCATCGTCCAGGTCATGGAGGCTGATCAGCGAGCCGAAGTGCTGCATCTGCAGATTGGGCGACTCACTGGCGGTGGTGGAAGTGGTTGTGGTGGATTTAAATGTGTGATGCTGGCACGCGGCGAGTCGCGGGTCGGCGGCTGGACTCTGCAGGAAGTCGATCAGCTGGGCAATTTGCGGTTTGTACCTGCAATGCGAGAGTTCACAGCGTCAAATAATCATTTTAAAAGCACGAAGAGACTCGTGTTCTAGCAATTTATTCTAATTGCTGAGCCAAAGAATCCGTGACGGAGATTGAAAATTCAAATTAATCTTAATTCTTTCCTCTCTCTTTCTCGTGCCAAATGAAACCAATTTGCTGAGCGAGAAGAAAAAGGGTATTTCTCATGAGCCCAGAACTTTGTGTAATTTAATCTCTTGATGTTTAGCATAAATTCTGATCTCTTCTTGGAAAGCAATTTCAGCATCAATCACTGGCAAAAGCGCTAATTTCCCAACGTAATTTCTTCATCATGCTTCTGTGCCAATTGGCGAAAATTCGCCAAACCACTTCGCTGCGTAATCAATTTGCTAAATGCAATTAAACCTGCTGACTTCAGTGGGATTTACCTCTCCAGCACACGGACTGCCCAGGACGACAGTCGACTCCAGTCATGCGGCGGTCCGTTGAGCACGTCTGCCGGCTTGTTGATCAGCAGCAGGATCTTGGCCAGATCCCTAACGATCTGGCAGTACGCCGTGGCTCCTGTGGTGTCGCCAGCGAGGTGGAGCTTCCTGATCTGGCGCCTCGTGTCATTCAGCATGGCCAGGAAGTACTCAGCATTGGGTCGAAGCTCATCCAACTGCTTCAGGAACTCCGCTCTCTCGATGGTGTCGTCTATCAGAGCCTCTTGCAGGCATTTTCGGCGCCTCTTCCTGCGGATTATGTAGAGCGTCGTGGCAATGATGCCGGCGCAGAGTAGGCATCCCACCAGGATGCCCACAGTGGCTTCTAGCACGGGACTGGCGAAGCCCGTGGGTCTGCAGATCTGCCCCATGAAGTCCGCCGCTGTGGACCACTGTGGAGCGTAGCCGCGCGGGCACTCAGAGACGCAAGTGCGGCTGTCGATGGCGATGTACTTTGGGCACTTCATGCAGCCCGTGGGACCACACTTGAGGCACTGCGGCTGGTCTTCGCAACCTGCAAGAGGCGGAAAAAAGATGGCATTTAGAGCATGTCGAGCAATTCGTCGCGACGGCAAAAAGAAGGCAACTGGAGCAGAGAACATGCATTATTCAGTCAACTGGAAGGCCAATTGGGTCTCCAATCGCTGCAATGACGCAATAAATCACGTCCACGTCCGATCTGTGATTGTTCTCAAGAGGAGAAAGAATCCAGCTGATCTCAAGTGATGGATTTGCCATTCCTCTGAGTCACACAATGTGTTAATTAGTCGATGGCATAAAAAGCGCGGCCAGAAACTAGGTTCATTACTTTCTTTCACCAGCAGAACTCATGAATTTGAGCTGTTCATTTCGGGCCACTTTTAGTGGAAAGAAAAACACTCAGCAAGAGGTGCGAGAGAAAGTGACGAATTGCTAACCAAATAATACTAATTTGTCAGCGGAGATACAATGGCAAATGTATGAATATTTGTACATTCCATTGCGATCAGATTTTAATTGAAACGTCATTTATCATCAGGTTATTTATTCACCTCAAAGCTTTGTAAGCCATAATGCTGTAAATCTCCAAGAATCACACCTTAATTGACAGTAATTTGCAATGAATCAGGTTGAAGTAAAGACTAAAATTACATAGCATTGCACACTATACTTAACACAGACACTTTGTGCGTCTTTCTTCAATATTTGCGATGCAGGAAAGTCAGGCTCAGCGTTGAATTCAAATTTGAGATCTTTTTGAGCAGCGGTCTTCGAAATTTTCGCGGTGTTTCTCGTACTGCGCAAAACCCGCAAAACCTCTATTCATCATAATCTCCGTGCACAATGACGCTCGAGTGGGTGAACGAATCCTCCCCATTGTGAGCAAACACGGTGAAATATTTGCCGAAGACACAAATTAAAATGAATAAGTCGCGTGTGGATGAGGAGATGGTTTTGGGCAAATTAAATTTTGGCATTTGATGCAAAATTCATGTGCGGATTGTGGCTGAAAAGGCGTCAAGAAATTCCACATCTTGTCAAGACAACACAAGACTTGGATCACTTATTTAATTGACTCGGTTAATTGCTATTAAATGAAATTACACATCGCGCACGAAGCTCTCCAGACACTCTCTGCATGCGGTTGTTTCACTCCCTGACAACGTATTCAATTACATCAATTATCATTTCAAATATTATTCACAAGTTTCTGCTTCGGCGACGCGAACACGATTTCTTGCGCGCCTTCCTTTTTTTCTCTTCTTCTGCTCTGAGGAGGCAGAAAATGGCAAGAAGTGGAGGAGTTTTCGCGAAAAAAGATCATAATGTACAAGTTTTGCAAGCGATGTGAGAAAAGCGCGGCGAACAAAGATCCGCATTGTCTCGGCAGTTTGCAATGAGCTTCACGAGGAAAATGCAACGAGAGACGCGTGCTCATAATGAGGTAATTAAATGTTGGCTATTATTTATAACTCACTCATAACTAAATACCCATTTGACTTTGAAGCAAATATTTTCAATTACTATAATATTGCTCTCTTTGAAGCCTTCGCTTGTTCCGTCTTTTATGTAAGACTCGCCGAGGAACAATAAGAGCTTCTCAGGGAATTCGTGACACACATTTTTCCTCCATATAATAATAATAATGTGGAATTTTTCCCGCAGTTCTTTTTTTCTTCAGAGTGCCAAAGCACGTGTGGATGAAAGGAGAGCAACTTGCAATTACGCCGGACAATTGAATTGGACTCGAAATGCAAAGTGGAGCAATTCAAATACAATCCAAATCACTCAAGATTGACTTTTGTGAAGAAGGTCGCGCGCAATTCTTGCACTTGTGAGCCATTTTTTACACACATCAGGCGAGAAAATTTGCAATAAGAAAGCTCAACTTTCTCATGACGAGAAGATAAGTACAGAGAAATTACAGCATTTCCCCAGGGAATGTCGAGAGAGGTTGCAAGAGTTCAAGTTTAGAATTGTTTACACGCTGAAGAATTCTGTGGATTTTAACACTATTTACCCTCCGCGCTAAAGAGTTCCCATTCTTCTTTCCTCTTCTCCACATTATCAGATGCCGAGATTATGAACTTGTCGAGTGGAGACTGTGAACATGTGTCGAAGGCGGAGCTGCAAACGCCCTAGATTGAAGATGATGATTGCACAAAGCACTTGGCATTTCAGCATTTACATTGCAAAAACCAAACAACTTCATAACATCTTACCATCCACAGTTCCCGCCTCGAATTCTAAGCACATCGCAACCGCCTTAATCACGATCTTATCTGGGCAAAAAGCGCGCCCTTTCACCAAGTCTTGCGGCGTGATGTGCGTATGAAGAAAAGCACATTTCCCAGAATCAACGAGAGATTGTCTATTTGTTCCTGCGCATCTCGTAATAAATATTTGTGACTCTCACACACTGTTTGGATTGTCTTCCTCTCCCCCTTTTTAGGGCCTCCGATATTTGTTCTGATGCTGCGATAATTTAATTCCCACTTCCGTTCACGGGATGTAGAGCTCACGTTTCCGTTAGATAAATCAAACACCCTCACGTGACACTTCCAGCGCTGATTTCCCGCCAAATTTAGGTGCTGATAATAGCGCCATTCTCACGTTCGCCTCTCCCGGAATACCTGTGATTTATGGGGATTGGTGAAATTTTTAATTGCAGAAGAGAGAGGATAAATCGCGGTGATGCGAAGAGATTCGCTGAGGAAGGCGAAGAGAGGAAATACTGAGGCTGGTATTTGTTGACATCCCATGAGAAGATTAATGGTGGCATTGTTATATTTTCTACACATTGCGTACACGTCATGATGATTTATTCTCAATCTGCTAAAACCACACAGATCATTTCGCTTAATTGTCGAGCCATTGAGTGGCTTTTTCCTCCCTCTTCTTGCAGAATCTATCAGAAGAACTCTTGCCGAATACAAACAATTTCATCGCAGTTAATTTGACTTGATAATTTATGCATTAAACATCAGAATATTTCTCGTCTCGTTTCCGTTTTGTGGTCGGGAGGAACAGTTCGTGCTCCTCAGGCGCTGTTCTTATCGTCCTTTCACCATTAATTTCATTGGAGTCGTAAAAAGAGATGCACGAAAATTATCTCATGTCCTTTTGTCTACGAAACGTCTCTCGATAAGACATCCATTGATTGGATTGTTAGCATAAAATCTCTATGTTTCTGCCAACATGTCCCGCAGATATTCTCCTCCATGCTTTCGAACAATGGTCAAATAACAGATGAATATTGAAAAGACATTGATAAGCCATCGCTGAGCATATCTTCTGGCGAATTGAGATTCCTGGGTGTCGAAAGGAATGTGATAAACCGAATTTCATACCACGCAAAGAGAGATTATTGGACTAACACATGACAAAACATATTGAAACAGTTTGGAAGTTTGAAATGTTCTCACCTCGCACTGTCAGCGTGTAATAGAATTTACCGCATTAAATTTACAATGTTTAGAGAGATTAGTTATTGTGGTTTTCCACGCCCGAGGTTTTCCCTATAATCGCCTTTACCCCACAGAACACAATCCAGACGCCGAGTTAAATGATGAAATGATTATTTGTTTCGCTTGAGTGACGAGTTGGGCGATAATTTAAATTACCGAGAACAATTGAGTGCGTTTGCTGGAATTATACGTTGAGCAATTAATAATAAATGGACTCTTTTCACCCAAGAACACTCGGTTCTGATGCCGCCTCGATGGAGATTGTCTTGCTGCTGAGTGGGTGGCGGACGTCTTGCGAAGTTGCTCTGAAGAACAATGAGTTCTAAAATATTCATCTGAGCGCTGCTGTCTCAGAGAATCAACTTTGTGGCTTCGCTGGCCTTATAAGAGAACGGTGGATTTTTTGATTAAGCATTTACCTCCGCCAGGAAAAAGGTATTGCGAGTGTTGTTGAAATATTGGAAAAATTTCCCCACAAACTTTCAGTCACAAATCATGGCTCAATGATTAAACTTTCTATGGCGTAATTGAAATTTATGCTAAATTCAAATAAAACACCGCATGAGACACATTGTCTCGCATTTTCGCCCACCTTTCCACCTTGTTCTTTGGCCGAAGGCGCGCAGAACAGACGAGAGAGAATTGCTGTTTCCGCAAATGGGTGGGCAAAAGCCAAAGAAGCTGAAGAGATATTCTCAGTTGGATGGCAACATGCGGAAACAATGCAATTCTCCTGCCACTATTGCTCCTAACAGTACCATTTTCTTCTCCATTGATTCATCGGAGTGAAATCTTTCTCTGTCTCGAGACTCTTGCCATACGATTGACTAAGGAGTTCAAAGCACTTGCGTGTGAACAGTTAGGGAAATACTCCGAAAATCTTCCTCAATCCACTCTGACAAATGCCTAACGCCACGGTAGTTAATTCTGGCGAATTGATGCGTGAAAGAGGACCACAACAGATGAAATTCCAATCTTATTAGCGGCTGTTAAGCGAGGGGAAAAGGTAAATTCCTGGTTCTCTGAAAACAGCTCGTCAGCATTCATCTCTTATAGAATTTAATAGCTCGCTAACCGAACCCAATGTCACTGTTCACGAGCGATTTAATCCAATTATCGCGTTTGCATACCGCAACTGTTCATAATTGATGGACAGTGTTTAAAAATCAATTATCAATTAATTTTATTTATCCTGGACTCCATATAAACCGCACTGGTTGCAAATAATTCAGGCAAAAATCAATTTTACCGCCCAGCAACGTAATATAATATAGTTTATTTGTGTATGGGGAAATATTAAACCAAGAGCACCAGAATATTCACACGGAGAGCACTTGCTGGTTTATTTGAGTTATTAATTAATTCAGTGACAGTGTGAGAGGTGCTCAATAAATTTAATTATATTCACTCTCCGCTAAAGTGACGTGAGTAAACATTCTCGTGGTTCTGCTCGAGAAAATGCTCAATTTCCTCCCTCAGGATCTTGTGGTCTGGAGGACTTTTTCCGCCGCTCTGCGGCGTCTGTTGAGTCTCACATTCAGTCAGAGTGTCGCGTTGCCACCCCAAA